GTACATTTTTTTTTTTTTTTACATGTGTTCCATCGCAAACTGTCATAAGCATAAAAGCTACCAGCTATCGACATTCTGCTAAACAGACATTCCTCTCTTGCTTAAGCACAATTAAAGGTGAATTACACTCAAATCTAAATGTGTTCTTTTTTGTGGGGTGGGGTGGGGAGATACCTCAAAATTGGTCTTCTGATGTGATTCAAGCATTGACATGTTCTCAAACAACGAAAATGTATGTTCTATCTACGAATAATCCTAATATGAGAGTAAAAATGAAAAAATTCTAAAACCAGGAAAAATAAAACAGAATTCTAGAAAACACAAAAGATTTTGGGTTTGGTACAGCCAGTAGCCTGTGTTGCGGCTAGTGCTGATCACAACCCATGTTTAAAAAACAGACACCAAGAAACCCTTCACCGCAGTCATTTCCTGTTGTTTACTTGCTTGCTAGACCAAAAAACACTGCTCTCTTACCGACGAAGTATGTCATCATCTGGGGGGTGTGGTGCGGCGTGGGGGCGATGCGTAGAAGCTCCTCCCCCCTGGCGACCGTGGGGTAGTTGATGGCCTGGACGTAAATGTTGTAACGGCTCATCATGACGTCAGACACCTCAGTGTTCTTCTCCGCATCGGACACCTGCAGGCCACGTCAAAATCACATTAAAATCAAATGGAAGATCATGTTGAGAACGTCAATCAATACTAATAAATGTTGAGGATGGGCGGCAGGTAGCTTAGTGGTTAAGAGCATTGTGCCAGTAACCGAAAGGTCGCTGGTTCTAATCCCGGAGCCGACTAGGTGAAAAATCTGTCGATGTGCCCTTGAGCAAGGCACTTAACCCTAATTGCTCCTGTAAGTCGCTCTGGATAAGAGCGTCTGCTAAATGACCAATTATTATTTTTAATTATTATGTCAATTAGTCAATATTAACCACGTCAAATCAATAAATGTTGAGGCTAATCAATACTATGCCGATCCAGATGAACAATTTTTATACGTTTTTAGTCAACAGTTAACACCATGACATCTCTAGGTGTCTAGCTGACAGACATGACCAGGAATTGTATCTGCTCAGGGATATCTCTGATAATTATCTCTGGGTCTTAATGATAATCATGTTACCACGTGCTGATTCCAGCCTCTCATGCGACCACAGGTAAAATACCCAAATGCGATGGCCATGTGGGACAGCGTAGCCTACATGAATACACGTTCGCCTCGCGCAAAACTTTGGTGATGCAAAAAAAACAAGAGGGCACATGTGTGGTTGTATTATGAACATCTGGGAATATCTGGCCACGGAAACATTTCTGGTTGGTCTCAGGGAAATGTAAAACAGTTAGGAATGAATGAGCAACTAATGAGCATGGAGGGCCTCAGAAGTTTCCGGACAAATTTCCAATTCACATTGGACAATAAAGTTGTACTGATTCTCACCCTGACAGGGATGATGTGAGAGGGGCAGTGGACGAGGGGCAGTCCAGAGTCCATGAGCATCTGCCTCAGCAGCTTGACGTTGCGTTGGTGTTTCCTCCGGAGGGCGCGGCCCTCCTCCCCTTTAAGGATGTGGATGGACTCGCGGGCACCCGCCAGCAGCATGGGTGGCAGAGAGGTGGTGAATATGAAGCCTGCAGCGTAGCTACGCACCGTGTCCACCAGGGCGTCGGTACTGGCGATGTAACCTCCTACACAGCCAAACGCCTTGCCTGGAAGAACAAGATCATGTAAAATAAAAATAAAAATAAGATTGTATTTGTCACATGCGCCGAATACAACAGGTGTAGACCTTACAGAGAAATGCTTACTTACAAGCCCTTAACCAACAATGCAGTTAAGAAATAATAAAATAACTATATAAAATAAAAAAGTTACAAATAATTTAAGAGCAGCAGTAAAAATAACAATAGCGAGGCTATATACAGGGGGGTACCGGTACCGAGTCAATGTGCGGGGGCACCGGTTAGTCGAGGTAATTTGTACATGTAGGTAGAGTTATTAAAGTGACTATGCATAGATAATAAACAGAGTAGCAGCAGCGTAAGAGAGTTGGGGGGGGGACAATGCAAATAGTCCGGGTAGCCATTTGATTAGATGTTCAGGAGTCTTATGGCTTGGGGATAGAAGCTGTTTAGAAGCCGTTTGGACCTAGACTTGGCGCTCTGGTACCGCTTGCCGTTCAGTAGCAGAGAGAACAGTCTATGACTAGGGTGGCTGGAGTCTTTGACAATTTTGAGGGCCTTCCTCTGACACCGCCTGGTATAGAGGTCCTGGATGGCAGGAAGCTTGGCCGCAATGATGTACTGGGCCGTACGTACTACCCTCTGTAGGCCGAGCAGTTGCCATACCAGTGATGCAACCAGTCAGGATGCTCTCGATGGTGCAGTTGTATAACCTTTTGAGGATATGAGGACCCATGCCAAATCTTTTCAGTCTTCTTAGGGGGAATAGGCTTTGTCGTGCCCTCTTCACGACTGTCTTGGTGTGTTTGGACCATGATAGTTTGTTGGTGATGTGGACACCAAGGAACTTGAAGCTCTCAACCTGCTCCACTACAGCCCCGTCGATGAGAATGGGTGCGTGCTTGGTCCTCTTCTTTTTCCTGTAGTCCACAATCATCTCCTTTGTCTTAAGCACATTGAGGGAGAGGTTGTTGTCCTGGCACCACAAGGCCAGGTCTCTGACCTCCTCCCTATAGGCTGTCTCGTCGTTGTCGGTGATCAGGCCTACCACGGTTGTGTCATCGGCAAAACTTAATGATGGTGATGGAGTCGTGCTTGGCCACGCAGTCGTGGGTGAACAGAGAGTACAGGAGGGGACTGAGCACGCACCCCTGAGGGGCCCCAGTATTGAGGATCAGCGTGGCGGATGTGTTGTTACCTACCCTTACCACCTGGGGGCGGCCCGTCAGGAAGTCCAGGATCCAGTTGCAGAGGGAGGTGTTTAGTCCCAGGGTCCTTAGCTTAGTGATGAGCTTTGTGGGCACTATGATGTTGAATGCTGAGCTGTAGTCAATGAACAGCATTCTCACATAGGTGTTCCTTTTGTCCAGGTGGGAAAGGGCAGTGTGGAGTGCAATAGAGATCGCATCATCTGTGGATCTGTTGGGGCGGTATGCAAATTGGAGTGGGTCTAGGGTTTCTGGGATGATGGTGTTGATGTGAGCCATGACCAGCCTTTCAAAGCACTTCATGGCTACAGACGTCAGTGCTACGGGTCGGTAGTCATTTAAGCAGGTTATCTTAGTGTTCTTGGGCACAAGGACTATGGTGGTCTGCTTGAAATATGTTGGTATTACAGACTCAGTCAGGGACATGTTGAAAATGTTAGTGAAGACACTTGCCAGTTGGTCAGCGCATGCTCGGAGTACACGTCCTGGTAATCAGTCTGGCCCTGCGGCCTTGTGAATGTTGACCTGCTTAAGTCTTACTTCAATCGGCTACGGAGAGCGTGATCACATAGTCATCCGGAACAGCTGATGCGCTCATGCAAGTTTCAGTGTTACTTGCCTCGAAGCGAGCATTGAAGCGATTTAGCTCGTCTGGTAGGCTCGTGTCACTGGGCAGCTCACGGCTGTGCTTCCCTTTGTAGTCTGTAATAGTTTACAAACCCTGCCACATCCGACGAGCGTCAGAGCCAGTGTAGTACGATTCAATCTTAGTCCGGTATTTACGCTTTGCCTGTTTGATTGTTCGGAGGGCATAGCGGGATTTCTTATAAGCTTCCAGGTTGAAAGCGGCAGCTCTACCCTTTAGCTCAGTGCGGATGTTGCCTGTAATCCATGGCTTCTGGTATGTACGTACAGTCACTGGGAACGACGTCGTCGATGCACTTATTGATGAAGCCAGTGACTGATGTGGTGTACTCCTCAATGCTATCTGAAGAATCCCGGAACATGTTCCAGTCTGTGCTAGCAAAACAGTCCTGTAGCTTAGCATCTGCTTCATCTGACCACTTTTTTTATTGACAGAGTCACTGGTGTTTCCTGCTTTAGTTTTTACTTGTAAGCAGGAATCAGGAGGATAGAGTTATGGTCAGATTTGCCAAATGGAGGGCGAGGGAGAGCTTTGTATGCATCTCTGTGTGTGGAGTAAAGGTGGTCTAGAGTTTTTTTTCCTCTGGTTGCACATTTAACATGCTGGTAGAAATGAGGTAGAACGGATTTAAGTTTCACTGCATTAAAGTCCCCGGCCACTAGGAGCACCGCTTCTGGATGAGCGTTTTCCTGTTTGTTTATGGCCTTATACAGTTCATTGAGTGCGGTCTTAGTGCCAGCATCGGTTTGTGGTGGTAAATTGACAGCTACGAAAAATATAGATGAAAACTCTTGGTAGATAGTGTGGTCTACAGCTTATCATGAGGTACTCTACCTCAGGCGAGCAAAACCTTGAGACTTCCTTAGATATCGTGCACCAGCTGTTATTGACAAATATACATAGACCGCCACCCCCTTGTCTTACCAGAGGCTGCTGATAACACACCGTTAAAAAAAAAAACCAGATCCACTTAGGCTCTTCCTCTAGATCAGGGAAATTAGCATTTAGCTGAAAGATACATTTATGGTTCACAACAAATAGAACGTCACCGGTTATTGGAGATGATTAAAATAGGACTCCTTGGTATTCAACAGGTCTTGTTGTTGTGAAGCAGTTCTGCTGGCTTTCGTTCCGGTCATCTTGACATGGTTCTATTCTACCAAGACAAAGCAACAGATGATTGGCCTGCTGTGGTGCGTTTGTACCGATTGGTCTCTCAGCTGGCCCCAGGCTTTAGAGGAAACTCAATGAGGGCTGTGGTCTCTTAGCAACAGGAACAGACTATAGTTCCTGATTCTCCAGTGTCCCATCAGGTGACAATCTGAACCTCTTTGGTTTCAGACAACCAAAGAAACTCGACTACAGATGTCAAGAGAACTGATTTTTTTTTTTACATTGTGCTGTTTGAGGGGGGGTAAATGCTGTTAACTAGTAGTCAATGGTGACATTTCGGACAGTGTTTGGTTTTAATACGGACCCAGTGTTCCAGAGATGATGTCCATCTTGTGCATGATGCCGTCCCGGTCTCCGATGCCTCCTCCTCTGGCGCCGTACAGCCCCACCGCATGCACCTCGTCTACAAACGTGATGGCTCCGAACTCATGGGCCACGTCACACATCTCTTCCAGAGGACACACCGCACCTTTAAAAAAAAAAAAAAAAAAAAAAAACTTTAATTAGGCTTTTTTTTTTAAAACAGGGTTTACAGTGGGACGCACCATACCTTTAAAAAAACAACAAAAGGGTTAATATCATAACTAATTTAGCAGGAGGGTTTTACACTAGGGCCGGAATCATACCAATATTTCTTCCATGGCAAAAAATGTAAACACAAAGTAGGCCAAACTGTTTGTTCTTTAAAGACCTGCTGTATGTAACAGTGGGATATAGCTTGGAAATCAATACATGTGACAACATAATGATATTTGTTTCCAACATTAGGGCTGTTTTCCTAAAGAAGTTAAATCCGCTTCGTGTTTTGCTTCCTTGCTACCGATACTAAACGAGTATCGCGATACTGACATTGTCCCTAAATTTACACATTTCTTCAACAGGAACCAACAGTAAATATCATATAACCAGTATTGGACATTTTAATACTGCCATTCAGGCTTCACTGAGTCAACTCCAGATAAGAACTATTCAGGCAAATAGGACTTGTAACGTTCTCTCATAGCACTGACGTCAACAGGATATTTCAGTTACACATCATTGGTCACGTTAAGGCTCTTCACATAGGGAATAGGGCTCCATTTGGGAAGCACACCAAGCACTACCCCACTCACCATCCATAGAGTGGACTGTCTCGAAGGCCACGATCTTTGGAGTGGACGGGTCTGACTTCAGCAGCAGATCTCTCAAGTGGTTGGGGTCATTGTGACGGAACACAAACTTCTTGGCTCCGCTATTCCTAATGCCCTGGATCATGGAGGCGTGGTTCCCTGCATCAGAATAGATCTCACAGCCTAGCGAGAGAGGGGGGAATAAAACACCTGTTTAGTACCATTTCATGTTGGTCATTTAGCAGACGTTCTTATCCAAAGCGACTTACAGTCAGTGCATTCAACTAAGGTAGACAAAAACAAACACATATCGTAGTCATTAGCTTTCCTCAAAGCAAGCGAAGCCAGTTAAGCTTTCCTCAAAGCAGCCCTCCTCAAAGCCATGACACAGATTCACTTTTTGATCCTTTGTTTATTCAGGAGATCATATTGACAACCTCTTTTGTGACGGACAATAAAAGCCTGTTTAGTCGAATTTTAGTACCCATTTAGTTCCATGATAACCCAGATTAATATGGTGTATGATACAATTAATAACCCTATTTTTTACCTAGGTGGCTATGTTGATTGACATTTCAGTTCTATGGTCGTGATCCACAGAGAGCCAACATGGAGTTGGAAGTACAACCGCTGGAATCCAACACCACCTGGTCTGGAGGGACTGATAAACCAGCACCTGACCTGGTCTAGAGGGACTGATAAACCAGCACCTGACCTGGTCTAGAGGGACTGATAAACCAGCACCTGACCTGGTCTAGAGGGACTGATAAACCAGCACCTGACCTGGTCTAGAGGGACTGATAAACCAGCACCTGACCTGGTCTAGAGGGACTGATAAACCAGCACCTGATCCATAACACCCTGACTAGTTCAAGGACTGATATACAGACCTGATGGATTTAGGGGACCTGATAAGACCTACTGGTTGGGGATGTACAGTACGGTGTTAGGGACTGGGATCACCTTTGGCCAGGGTGAAACAGGCAGTTATGGGACTGAAACACACGGCAAGTGAAAACCATGTTAGGGAGCGTCCCTTCCGTTTGAGATTGGGCTAGTTACCCATGTTCAGCAGGGACTTACTGGTCCCAGAGATGTCTGATACCAGCCCGCTGCGGTACGTCAAACGCTCCCCTGGCAGAGGACAGTAAAACACCTACCTGGTGGTTAACACAGCCTACAGACAGGATGATTACCCACTGTACCTGTCAAACAAACCAGCCACGGCAAGGATATAAAACAGGCAATTACCTGGTAGAGGGACTTCCCTGGTGATATTAACAGCACTGGTCTGAGGGACTATAAACAGCAATGGGTAAGGTGTACCAGCACTGTCCTTTAAATGTAAACTAACCGGTTCCTTTGTAGCACACCTGCCTGGTCTGGAGGGACTGATAACCCAGCACCTGTCTAGAGGGACTGTATAAACCAGCACCTGTCTAAGGCGGACTTGATAAACCAGCACCTGACTGGGTCTAGAGGGACTGATAAACCAGCACCTGGTCTAGAGGGACTGATGGGCACAGGGTGCTCTTTATTTTGGCACTACAATGTCTGTTAGTTCAGATGATTATTGATGATTATGATTTAGCTGGCCCTGTAAGTACAGGGTGTGTTAGTTCAGTACAGGTGATATGGTTACCTGGCATCATCTTGGCCAGGGTGAACAGGGTGGAGTCATTGGCTACGAAGCAGGAAGTGAAGAGTAGCGCAGCGTCCTTCCCGTGGAGATCTGCTAGTTCCTGTTCCAGTTCCACGTGGAACTTACTGGTCCCAGAGATGTTCCTGGTTCCTCCAGCCCCGCTGCCGTGCTTACGCAACGTCTCCCTGGAGACAACAGTCAACAACAAACACCGGTTAACAACAGCCTCAGAACCATGATTACCCAACGTCACCCTGTCAACAACACCAGGCAACAATAGTAAAACAGGCCAATTACCATGTGTACACCTTCCCTGGGTTATTATCAGCTCTGTGTGGGCATCTATAGAAAGGCCAATGGGATAGGTAATTGGTCCTTAAATGAAACTAACGGTTTCTTTTGTCGTGTCTCCTCAGGGAGCAATATAGCCCCTTGATCTATCCATGGTTGTATTCAGTAGGCAATAAGAAAACATGTTCACTAGTTTACTCCAATTAGGGAAGGGGTGGTGGGGTTGGAAAGTAAGAAAGGGAAATATATATATTTTTAAAGGATATGTGAATTTATATGTATGCATGTATGTATATGCGAGAGAAAAAAAACATATGGGGGATTGGAAGTGATGCAGACAATTACATTGATGGAAGTTACAATCTATCTGCAATATTAAAGCTGATCTACCCCCTAAAGAAGAAATACAAAAAAAAATTGAAAGAGTGAAACTGGGAGGTACTACTATCTGGGGGGAAAATGCAAATTAAATCGGTTTCAAATGGGAAATAAAACAACCCCTTTCTATAGCCCTACTGAGCACGACCTGTCTGTCTGTCTGTCTGTATCTCTCTATCCATCCAACTATCCAGAAACGATCCACCCATCACCGGTTGTCCGGCTACTTACGTGATGGAGTTGACGACCCGTGGGTGTCTGCTCATGCCCAGGTAGTCATTGGAGCACCAAACGGACACGTCTCTCCTGTTGCTAAGGGAATCGGTGTAGTCGTCACCCATGGGGAAGTCAGTGGCCCGTCGGTTCACCGTCTTAAAGACACGGTACGTGTGGTCGCTCTTCTTCTCCTCAATCTTCCTCTCAAAGAACTCATCGTAGTGGAAGTTAGAGACTGCAGGGAGGAAGCAAACATGATTAGGAGTGAGGAGGTAATGATCACATTGAGTTGTCCAGTTTCAATCAAAGGTAAGAAGAGAACATGCTCAACTCTACCCTCTTTCATAACACTTTGAAAGGTTTATTCAATGTTTCATAGTTGTGTGTGCGTGTAACCTAAAATGGGAAATAATTTTAGAATAAGGCTGAAACGTAACAAAATGTGGAAATTCAAGGGGTCTGAATACTTTCCGAATGCACTGTATGGGCTGCATGAGGCAACTAAAGGCTATTGATGATTTGAGAAAGTTGCCAAAAAAGGCCTTCCTTGCCTCTGGCTGCACAGCTGTGGTCTCCGGGATCATACTCTTAACAGGCTTTGGTTTTTCCATTTATATTTTCGAGGTTGGACGTTAGCACGTGGCTGGCCCAGTGCTCCATTCGTCTTCAGAGATGTGGAGGGTTAACGCCTTTAGTTGGCTCTCCTTATTTCATTTCTAAAAAGAACAATCCGTCATCTTCATCTTCCCTGATTTCATTTTGCTCCACTTTGTGGTTTGCTTCCTGTCTTTCAGTTTGGTGGGTTTTAGTTTTATAGTTTGGGGTTTTAGTTTGTTTGCCTCTTAAATGTAAAATGTTAAATGGGCAACTTTAGTGTGTGTCTTTTACGTCCCAGTTGGTGTTGCTAGTTAACTTCCAGTGGACCCCCCCATGAATGTCTTTCAGAACCCCTCCTAAAACCCCACCCGTTTCATTTTGGTTGTTGTCAGAGACTTTGTTGGTTCCCTCTTCTGTTTTAGCACCATTTCTGGTTGTGAACATCACAATATTTTCACCCATCAATTAATTTAAAATCTTGTCTTTACTAATATGGACAATTTGTTTAGATTTAGAAATGGTCCATTATCCAAATGGGGAGGGGAAATAGGACAGGCCTTTGCTTTTCACTCGGGTAAGCCACTCCGGTTATTTCAACACACAAACCACTGTTTAAAAGCATGCTCTCACTGCATGACAGATCATATTCCGCCCAAACTCTGTATGCCATGGGCTCTCCAACCCTGTTCCTCCAGCTACCCAGTCCTCTGTATGCCATGGGCTCTCCAACCCTGTCCCTCCAGCTACCCAGTACTCTGTATGCCATGGGCTCTCCAACCCTGTTCCTGCAGCTACCCGGTGCATAAATTTGCGAAACCAAGTGAAATGTGTTTGGAAACATCGATAGTAACGTTTTCACAACAAAACATATTTCCTGAAAACTGTAGACTCTTTCTGCGTGCTGGAGGAATTATTGAAGGGGAGGAGATGGAAACGCACGGTGCCGATATATTCTGTAGCTAAAAGTAATGTCATCCTATTCATTATATAAACATAAATGCCCTAATTACTAGGCTATTCAAATTCACTATAATTGGGTAGGTTTAATGTTAAGAGTATAGGCTATGTACTAAAGGCATCTTAAATCATTTTAAAATATATATTTTTCTGCCATGCGTAGTATGCGGTAGGGTATGTATTGTATAGAAGGCACAATCTTAATTTTAAGATGCATCAGCTCTAATATGCATATGGAAGTTTTGAATTAATCGTCACCTTAGAAAGCGCTGTCCATTTCGTTGCGTTAGGCTTTGAAACAACATCCACGTTTTCCACTCAGTTTCAACCTGCTGTTCAACTTCTTTCTTCAAATTGATCATCACAGTGAGACTAGTTTTTAAAAGTACGGTTTTGTAAAAGTAAGGTTTTGATAAGTGTTTGATGTGATTTGCGATTGCATTTGCATTGATGTCAGAGTGGTTAGAGGGACAATAGAGCCCTGAGTACCAGGCCATTAGGACCTGGTGGGTAGAGGGACAATAGAGCCCTGAGTACCAGGCCGTTAGCGACCCGATGGTTAGGGGGACAATAGAGCCCTGAGTACCAGGCCATTAGGACCTGATGGTTAGAGGGACAATAGAGCCCTGAGTACCAGGCCATTAGGACCTGATGGTTAGAGGGACAATAGAGCCCTGAGTACCAGGCCATTAGGACCTGATGGTTAGAGGGCCAATAGAGCCCTGAGTACCAGGCCATTAGGACCTGATGGTTAGAGGGCCAATAGAGCCCTGAGTACCAGGCCATTAGGACCTGATGGTTAGAGGGCCAATAGAGCCCTGAGTACCAGGCCATTAGGACCTGATGGTTAGAGGGCCAATAGAGCCCTGAGTACCAGGCCATTAGGACCTGATGGTTAGAGGGACAATAGAGCCCTGAGTACCAGGCCATTAGGACCTGATGGTTAGAGGGGCAATAGAGCCCTGAGTACCAGGCCATTAGGACCTGATGGTTAGAGGGCCAATAGAGCCCTGAGTACCAGGCCGTTAGCGACCCGATGGTTAGAGGGACAATAGAGCCCCGAGTACCAGGCAATTAGGACCTGATGGTTAGAGGGCCAATAGAGCCCTGAGTACCAGGCCATTAGGACCTGATGGTTAGAGGGACAATAGAGCCCTGAGTACCAGGCCGTTAGCGACCCGATGATCATTAGCGAGTTGGGCATTACGAACATATCCAGAGTGCATAAAATGAGATTACTGTGACTCAACGGTCACATAGAATTTTACTGCGGTCATGTCTCATGACTGCCGGTCACTGCAACAGTCCTACGTGCAACGCCATATTAAAGAAGGTGTTCCTAATGTTTAATCAACTCAGTGTAGACTCCATTGTGCATTATGTGCTCATGGCTGCGTAATGAATTCCCCTACAGGGACATTGAAGTTTAGTTTGAATAGTCTGGTCTTGTGACTCACAGCTGGGCATGTTCTCCTGCAGTAAATGGGACACCCTGATTGGACGTTGCTTCAGAAGCTTCTTCATCAGATTGGTTCGGTCAAAACCTCCAGGCTTGGACGAACTGCTGACTAGCGCCTGGGCTGGGGTCACATCTGGAGAGAGAGAGAGAGGTATAAGGCTGGGGTCACATCTGGAGAGAGAGAGAGAGAGAGAGAGAGAGAGAGAGAGAGAGAGAGAGAGAGGGGGGTATAAGGCTGGGGTCACATCTGGAGAGAGAGAGAGAGAGGGGGGTATAAGGCTGGGGTCACATCTGGAGAGAGAGAGGGGGGTATAAGGCTGGGGTCACATCTGGAGAGAGAGAGAGAGAGGGGGGTATAAGGCTGGGGTCACATCTGGAGAGAGACGGGTATAAGGCTGGGGTCACATCTGGAGAGAGACGGGGGGGTTTAAGGCTGGGGTCACATCTGGAGAGAGACGGGTATAAGGCTGGGGTCACATCTGGAGAGAGACAGAGAGACGGGTATAAGGCTGGGGTCACATCTGGAGAGAGAGAGACGGGGGGGTTTAAGGCTGGGGTCACATCTGGAGAGACAGAGGGGGTATAAGGCTGGGGTCACATCTGGAGAGACAGAGGGGGTATAAGGCTGGGGTCACATCTGGAGAGAGAGAGAGGGGGTATAAGGCTGGGGTCACATCTGGAGAGAGACGGGGAGGTATAAGGCTGGGGTGACATCTGGAGTTTTACTATGACTTCAACAGTACATAGCTGGACGAACCAAGTCTCGGGCCCTGGGAAGCAAGATTTTAGAAGCCCGCCTCTTGGCATCGGAGAGAAGATTTAGCAGTTTAAGTTAAATTCCTGCAATGCTTTAGAATTTTTTTAAAATAATAATATATATATATATATATATATCCTGCAATTCTACACATTTGCCATGAGGCAGAGAGAAAACGTTGCAGTTTTAAAGATTAAATTACAGCATTTATGTAAAAAGTATTGAGTTGAAAAATGTAAAATTGGTAGAGTACTGCAGTGGATACCAATATCCATCAGAGCCTCCCAGGTCCATGTTGCCCAGGGTTAAGAACATCAATTGTAGATTAATAATATTACATTACACCCTCTAAACTTATTCCACGGATCCCTTGTCCAAAATGCATTTAATCTGTTATGAATATTCATAAAAAAAAATACATAAAGGTAACAAAATATACAGTACCAGTCAAAAGTTTGGACACCTACTCATTCAAGGGTTTTTCTTTATTTTTACATTGTAGAATAATAGTGAAGACATCAAAACTATGAAATAACACACGGAATCATGTAGTAACCAAAAAAGTGTTCAACAAATCAAATTATATTTTATATTTGACATTCTTCAAATAGCCACCCTTTGCCTTGATGACAGCTTTGCACACTACTTCTTAATGCGTTTGAGCCAATCAGTTGTGTTGTGACAAGGTAGGGGGGGTATACAGAAGATAGCCCTATTTGGTAAAAGACCAAGTCCATATTATGGCAAGAACAGCTCAAATAAGCAAAGAGAAACGACAGTCCATCATTACTTTAAGACATGAAGTCAGTCAATACGGAACATTTCAATAACTTTGAACGTTTCTTCAAGTGTAGTCGCAAAAAAAAAAAAAACCATCAAGTGCTATGATGAAACTGGCTCTCATGAGGACCGCCACAGGAAAGGAAGACCCAGAGTTACCTCTGGTGCAGAGGATAAGTTCATTAGTGTTACCAGCCTCAGAAATTGCAGCCCAAATAAATGCGTCACAGAGTTCAAGTAACAGACACATCTCAACATCAACTGTTCAGAGGGGACTGCGTGAATCAGGCCTTGATGGTTGAATTGCTGTAAAGAAACTACTACTAAAGGACACCAATAAGAAGAGACCTGCTTGGGCCAAGAAACACGAGCAATGGACATTAGACCGGTGGAAACGTGTCCTTTGGTCTGGAGTCCAAATTGGAGATTTTTGGTTACAACCGGCGTGTCTTTGTGAGATGCGGTGTGGGTGAACGGATGATCTCCGCATGTGTATTTCCCACCGTAAAGCACGGAGGAGGAGGTGTTATGGGGTGGGGGTGCTTTGCTGGTGACTTAACCAGCATGGCTACCACAGCATTCTGCAGCGATACGCCATCCCATCTGGTTTGGGCTTAGTGGGACTATCATTTGTTTTTCAACAGGACAATGACCCAACACCCCTCCAGGCTGTGTAAGGGCTATTTTACCAAGAAGGAGAGTGATGGAGTGCTGCATCAGATGACCTGGCCTCCACAATCCCCCGACCTCAACCCAATTGAGATGGTTTGGGATGAGTCAGACCGCAGAGTGAAGGAAAAGCAGCCAACAAGTGCTCAGCATATGTGGGAACTCCTTCAAGACTGTTGGAAAAGCATTCCAGGTGAAGCTGGTTGAGAGAATGCCAAGAGTGTGCAAAGCTGTCATCAAGGCAAAGGGTGGCTATTTGAACAACCTCACATAAAAAATATATTTTGATTTGTTGAACACTTTTTTTGGTTACTACATGATTCCATATGTGTTATTTCATAGTTTTGATGTCTTCACTATTATTCTACAATGTAGAAAATATAACAAATAAAGAAAAACCTTTGAATGAGTAGGTGTGTCCAAACTTTTGACTGGTACTGTGTGTCCTGAAGTATTGACCCCTGCAATAAAGCTCCAGGTGGTTTAACCCATTGTGTACCTTTCTGGATGGTGCGGACCTCCTGCACGTCCTCCTGCAGCTGGATGCTGGCCTGGCGCACCACACCGCTGTTCTGGCCCATCTCAGCCGCCAGGAAGGGGCACTTGGAGGCCCCCGAGGCCTGGCCAGAGGGGGGCATGGGGTGGGGGTGGACCTGAGGCAGCTTGGTGGTGGTGCCCCCATTGGCTCCTAAAGGACAGAAGATACTAGGGTTAGGAGACTTAAGATACAGATCTTTAAACCTACACAATACTATATGAATAGGGTCAGGGGGGGTTTTTTCCTAATGATGGGAGCCGGTTGGAAAAACATAGCCCTAGAGATTTTTCCGACCAGGGAAACCTTGGGGCCATAATTCATATGTTAACCTAACAACCCATTACAGTCTATGACCAGATCACTTACTCTTCTCGGCTGATGTCTGGGCTGAAGTCACGGTGTCACCAGATCACTTACCCTTCTCGGCTGATGTCTGGGCGGAAGCCACGGTGTCACCAGATCACTTACCCTTCTCGGCTGATGTCTGGGCGGAAGCCACGGTGTCACCAGATCACTTACCCTTCTCGGCTGATGTCTGGGCGGAAGCCACGGTGTCACCAGATCACTTACCCTTCTCGGCTGATGTCTGGGCGGAAGCCACGGTGTCACCAGATCACTTACCCTTCTCGGCTGATGTCTGGGCTGAAGCCACGGTGTCACCAGATCACTTACCCTTCTCGGCTGATGTCTGGGCTGATGTCACGGTGTCACCAGATCACTTACCCTTCTCGGCTGATGTCTGGGCTGATGTCACGGTGTCCTCAGCCTTCTGGAAGCTAGCTGAGGAGGAGCAGAGGGAACGGGACAGAGGCTTGGAGGCCAGGTCCATCATCACAGGACATTTCTGGGCGTAGACCACCAGGGACGTCCGGGCCTGCTGGAGGAAAGCTTGGGGCACGCGGGACAGGAACGGGCAGCGGCGAATTATAGTCTCCATCCTTACAACGACTGTTCAGGCCTGAGGAAAACAAAAGAGGAGTTTAGGACAACGTCTTTCCTTATCTCGAGTCAGACATTTTATGGGTGCTAAGGTGCACATGCCTTCACGTGTCTGTGTCTTTCTATCATGTGTTTGATACGAGTCTTGTCCCGTGTAGCTCAGTTGGTAGAGCATGGCGTTTGCAACGCCAGGGTTGTGGGTTCGATTCCCACGTGGGGGCCAGTATGAAAATGTATGTACTCACTAACTGTAAGTCGCTCTGGATAAGAGCGTCTGCTAAATGACACAAATGTAAAATGTCTTGTCCTTAAAACAATTTCCCAAGTTGGAACCAACAATAAAAAGTTATACTATCCTCTACTCTGAGTGAGAAGGAAAACATTGTAATGTGTTATGGACGGCTATGCATTCCATTTCCTATCTGAAGCACATAGGTCATAGGGCCGTGCTATGTCAAAACGGGCTGTGGAATAGGAATATGCCAGATCCATAGGAAACTAATGGAACAGATGTGATATTTCTAAAAAACCTGTTTTTGTTATTATGGAGTATTGTGTGTAGATTAATGAGGGGGGGGACAATTTAATCCATTTTAGAATAAGGCTGTAACGTAACAACATTTGGAAAAAGTCAAGGGGTCTGAATACTTTCCGAATGCACTGTATGTAAAGGATAAAGGGGATTGGATGCGCGTTGTAAAGAAACGCCCCTCAAGATTAGAGTAGAACTGAGAGAGAGATCGTTCTCCACCGAGTTTATAAAACGGTAAAAAGAGCAGCAGGGTAGCGCTGTTTTAAATACAACGTCAACAAAATGGAGGTTGCTGTTACTCCCGTCCCTATTGCAGAACGCAGCCTTGACAGCATGCACTACAGTTGATTTAATCCACACTTGCATTAGTCCCCTCGTTTTGGTCATTGGCATTCAGGCTGTGACAACGAAAAGGCAGCAGACAGACCTACAGTATGTTTTAGCAGGAAGTTCAGTGACCTGATGTGTGTAACTGAAAATAATTTTGTAAAAAAGATTGTGAACCCAAAAGTGTAAGTTTGATTCTAGAGGGGGGACAATAAATATAAAATAGTTTGGGCAGATTAAGGTAATATTGTCTTCAGGAGATTTTATTAGCTATTTAAATTGTTTAGTCTGATCAGTGGAATAATTCTCATTCTTAACAACGGACTATAATATAGGGTAAATACTGAGCTTGTCAGCAACAACTACTGTAGTATTCCACTTCTTCCCAGTTCTGCATAGTCACATTTGAAATCTGATATGCCTACTTCTGTCTTTGAAAAATTAATTATATGAGGCTATGCATTTTTTTGCAGCCATTCATGGACAGTTTTGAATGTCATGCAAATAAGCATTGGATATTAAATGCTCCAGGAATCAAAAATAAAATTGGACATTTTAGTATTGTGCACATGCTAGACAGAGATGGTAGGGGGACTCCCAACTCATCAATGCATCATATTGTGTCTATGTCGAGTATGATGATGGCAAGGAATAACTAGCCTTGGTTTCTCCACTGATTGCCTCGCCTGGTTCACCAACTACTTCTCAGATGGAGTTCAACGTGTCAAATCGGAGGGCCTGTTGTCTGGACCTCTGGCAGTCTCTATGGGGGTGCCACAGGGTTAAATTCTCGGGCCGACTCTATTCTCTGTGTATATCAATGATGTCGCTCTTGCTGCTGGTGACTCTCAGATCCACCTCTACGCAGACTACGCCATTTTGTATACATCTGGCCCTTCATTGGACACTGTTAACAAACCTCCAAACAAGCTTCAATGCCATACAACACTCCTTCAGTAGCCTCCAACTGCTCTTAAACACTAGTAAAACTAAATGCATGCTTTTCAATCGAACGCTGCTGGCACCCGCCCACCCGACTAGAATCACCACTCTCGACGGGTCTGACCTAGAGTATGTGGACAACTACAAATACCTAGGTGTCTGGTTAGACCGTAAACTCTCCTTCCAGACTCACATTAAACATTTCCAATCCAAAGTTAAATCTAGAATCAGCTTCCTATTTCGCAACAAAGCCTCCTTCACTCATGCTGCCAAACATGCCCTCGTAAAACTGACTATCCTACCGATCCTTGACTTCGGCAATGTCATTTACAAAATAGCTTCCAACACTCTACTCTGCAAATTGGATGTAGTCCATCACAGTGCCATCCGTTTTGTCACCAAAGCCCCATATACTACCCACCATTGTGACCTGTACGCTCTCGTTGGCTGGCCCTCACTACATATTCTTCACCAAACCCACTGGCTCCAGGTCATCTATAAATCACTTTTAGGCAAATCCCGCCTTATCTTAGCTCATTGGTCACCATAGCAACACCCACCCGTAGTATGCGTTCCAGCAGGTATATCTCACTGGTCATCCCCAAAGCCAACACCTCCTTTGGCCGCCATTCCTTCCAGTCCTCTGCTGCCAATGACTGGAACGAACTGCAAAAATCTCTGAAGCTGGAGACTCTTATCTCCCTCACTAACTTTAAGCATCAGTTGTCAGAGCAGCTTACCGATCACTGCACCTGTACACAGCCCATCTGTAATTAGCCCACCCAACTACCTCATCCCCATATTGTTATTTACATTGTTATTTATTTTGCTCATTTGCACCCCAGTATCTCTATTTACACATCATCTTCTGCACATCTATCACTCCAGTGTTAATACTAAGTTATAATTGTAACTATTTTGCACTATGGCCTATTTATTGCCTTACCTCCATAACTTGCTACATTTGCACACACTGTATATAGATTTTATATTGTGTTATTGACTGTATGTTTTGTTTACCCCATATGTAACTGTGTTGTTGTTGTTGTTTTTATCGCACTGCTTTGCTTCATCTTGGCCAGGTCGCAGTTGTAAATGAGAACTTGTTCTCAACTGGCTTACCTGGTTAAATAAAAGGTGAAATAAATAAAACAATTTAAAGGATCTTCAACTAGCAGGCATAAACCACCTGAATATTCATTTGATTTTCTTGAAGGTTGGGGGATCTTGAGAAATTAATTGTTATAACAAGAAAATGTTCAAACACCCTCCTGGAGAGACATAGCTCTGGGTTGACCAACCCTCCTGGAGAGACATAGCTAGGGTGACCAACCCTCCTGGGGCCTCTGGGTTGACCAACCCTCCTGGAGAGACATAGCTCTGGGTTGACCAACCCTCCTGGAGAGACATAGCTCTGGGTTGACCAACCCTCCTGGAGAGACATAGCTCTGGGTTGACCAACCCTCCTGGAGAGCAAGCAGGATTTTCTTCCCTCCCTATTTTAAAAAATAGATAGTTCACCCAAATGACAAAATATAAAATGTTTGTGTCCTTACTTTGAAAGCAGTCTATGGACAAGCAGACTGCAATCTATGATTTGGTTACCCTCTGGCATCCACCATTAATATTAACATTTCCTGTGCAGAGCCTTGGTGTAGTGGTAACACTCCCAGGCAAATGTTGCACAACTTTCCACCTGAGAACAGCGACCATTCATTCCCTGCTTCCAACCTTCCCACTGTTTCTAGCATTTACCCGTCTCCCCCTCTTATTTCATTACTGTCCGAAGAAAGTTTCAAACCACCTAAAAAAAAAGTACAAAATATTTGCATACCCAAAAAAACTCAAAGTAACAAAGTCGTCGAATTTTACATTTTATGTCATTTAGCAGACGCTCTTATCCAGAGCGACTTACAGTTAGTGAGTGCATACATTTTTCATACTGGCCCCCCGTGGGAAACGAACCCACAACCCTGGTGTTGCAAGCGCCATGCTCTACCAACTGAGCTACACGGGGACATGAGTGTTCATTTAATGTTCAAAGTATCCTGAATACACCTCATTTCTCACCCTGGTCATTGGCCTAAGCAATGTCAAAATACATAGAATTGCAGGAAATGAGCTTTAAAACAGTAAGATATTCCTAAGGAAGGACACCCAGTCCCCAGTCTAGGGATTGTGCCAGGGGGCAATGAAATTCACATAACAAATCCCACTCCAAACTTTCTTCAAAACTTGGCAGCTCTGATTCAAATAGTTTACAAACTAGCTACATTCCTGTGTAATCCGAGGAGCCAAATCAAGTCACGCAAACCGAAAATACCGTCAATCGTGCGTAAATAATTCAACCCCCCCCCAGTCATAATCTTTTTAAATCATGAAAATGTATCCACTCCATATGGATACCAAGTTTCATAGCTATACCGACTGTTTTAGTAGCTACTTACATTTCAATGTCATCGTTACCCAATGAATACCGCTAGCTAGATCTTCATTTAGCCAAGCGGCTAGAAAATGCCCCGGTTTGCCCCCACTAGCATGCCGGTATCTGGCTAACCCAAGACCGAGGAACTGAGGACGAAAAGGGAGGCTATATCTCGTTTTACTTACCTCGATATGCTTCGGATCACCCTCTCACAAACTACGTAAAAAAAAAGCTAGCTTGGCTTGGAAAAGATCTCAGCGCTGTTTCGGTGTAAATATAAAACTCTAATAGTTTCGTTATCCTGCACTGAGGACGAACGAAAGGACGAGGCTACTGCAACCGGTTTATAAGACCGGACGGGAATTCAACTATCGCGAGAGGAGGCGTGTGTACGTCATAGCATCCGGACAGTCCCCCCAGAGAATGTTCCATTATGTCAAAAGCAACATGTGATTCACATCCTCAGTCTTCTTTTGCAATATACGACGAGTCTACGCTGTAGCTAAACATTTACATGTAAAAAAAAATTTTTTTTTGTACAGGTAAACACAATTTTGACGTGGAAACATTTACGTGTCAATTCTACTTAAAACAAAATGTATGATGAGGAGCGTATCCACTGGTATCCACTTTTATTTGAAAACTGATCATTTCACAATTTGAAAAGCAAAATATATGTACTCTCAGTTCACAAATCTCCCGAAATGTACTCTACCAGTACGCACTGTAAATGTCACACAAATCAAAGTGTGTCACATGCGCCAAATACAACGGGTGTAGACTTGACCTTGAAATGCTTGCTTACGATGCAGAGTAAAACAATTAAAATAATAGTTGTTCGTGTAATTGTTGACTTGGGGAAAAAAATATTTAAAGAGAATGGTCATATGTTGTATTTGTAGTACAATAACATTGTATTCACTTCACTACACACAGTCTGACCTTCCATCATGGGCCAAATGTGTTACTGAATGAAGATTGTGAAATGCTGAACCAAAGGACTTTGTTGTGGAGAGTGCTCCCTCTACTGTTAGTTCTGCAATAAAGCAACACAGCAACGCTGCATGATGTGTCCTTATTTGCGCTTGACCAACTACATTTAGGAGAAGGATATTCTGGATCATCTTCTGGTATCATAAACATTGAACCGCTGTAGTTTACAACAATTATAATTTCTAAAGTGGAAGTTGGGAGAGTTATATTTGAGTGTTTCAGTGTAACGTAAGTGAGGGAGGCCCCGCTCTCTCGCTTTCCCAGATGTTTAGTTAATTCCGATCTCCTTTGCATTATTGTAGCCTTTTCTGTAGCCAGTCAACTATGTGTCTGTCTATCCCTGTTCTCTCCTCTCCGCACAGGCCATACAAACGCTTCACACCGCGTGGCTGCTGCCACTCTAATCTGGTGGTCCCTGCGCGCACGACCCACGTGGAGTTCCAGGTCTCCGGCAGCCTCTGGAACTGCCGTTCTGCGGCCAACAAGGCAGAGTTCATCTCAGCCTATGCTACCCTCCAGTCCCTCAACTTCTTGGCGCTGACGGAAACATGGATTACCACAGAAAACACTGCTACTCCTACTGCTCTTTCCTCGTCTGATCATGTGTTCTCGCTACTCTCTCCTCTTCCATCCTATCATCTCTTCCCTCTGCTAAATCCTTCTCCCTCCGATCTCCTGATTCTGCCTCCTCAACCCTCCTCTCCTCCCTTTCTGCATCCTTTGACTCTCTATGTCCCCTATCCTCCCGGCCGGCTCGGTCCTCCCCTCCTGCTCCGTGGCTTGACGACTCATTGCGAGCTCACAGAAGAGGGCTCCGGGCAGCCGAGCGGAAATGGAGGAAAACTAGACTCCCTGCGGACCTGTCATCTTTTCACTCCCTCCTCTCTACATTCTCTTCCTCTGTTTCCACTGCTAAAGCCACTTTCTACCACTCTAAATTTCAAGCCTCTGCCTCTAACCCTAGGAAGCTCTTTGCCACCTTCTCCTCCCTGCTGAATCCTCCTCCTCCTCCCCCTCCCTCCTCCCTCCTCCCTCTCTGTGGATGACTTCATCAACCATTTTGAAAAGAAGGTTGACGACATCCGATCCTAATTTATTAAGTCAAATTACACCGCTGGTCCTGCTCACATTGCCCTACCCTATGCTTTGACTTCTTTCTCCCCTCTCTCTTCAGATGAAATCTTGCGACTTGTGACGGCCGGCCGCCCAACAACCTGCCCTCTTGACCCTATCCCCTCCTCTCTTCTCCAGACCATTTCCAGAGACCTTCTCCCTTACCTCACCTCGCTCATCAACTCATCCTTGACCGCTGGCTATGTCCCTTCCGTCTTCAAGAGAGCGAGAGTTGCACCCCTCCTCAAAAAACCTACACTCGATCTCTCCAATGTCAACAACTACAGACCAGTATCCCTTCTTTCTTTTCTCTCCAAAACTCTTGAACGTGCCATCTCTAGCCAACTCTCCTGCTATCTCTCTCAGAATGACCTTCTTGATCCAAACCAGTCAGGTTTCAAGACTGGTCATTCAACTGAGACTGCTCTTCTCTGTGTCATGGAGGCTCTCCGCACTGCTAAAGCTAACTCTCTCTCCTCTGCTCTTATCCTTCTAGACCTTTGATACTGTGAACCATCAGTCACTTGGCTCTGTCATATCCTCACATGGTCTCTCCTATCATTGCTACGCAGACGACACACAATTAATTTTCTCCTTTCCCCCTTCTGATAACCAGGTGGCGAATCGCATCTCTGCATGTCTGGCAGACATATCAGTGTGGATGTCGGATCACCACCTCAAGCTGAACCTCGGCAAGACGGAGATGCTCTTCCTCCCGGGTAAGAACTGCCCGCTCCATGATCTCGCCATCACGGTTAACAACTCCATTGTGTCCTCCTCCCAGAGTGCAAAGAACCTTGGCGTGACCCTGGACAACACCCTGTCGTTCTCCGATAACATCAAAGCGGTGACCCGATCCTGCAGGTTCATGCTCTACAACATTCGCAGAGTACGACCCTACCTCACACAGAAAGCGGCACAGGTCCTAATCCAGGCACTTGTCATCTCCCGTCTGGATTACTGCAACTCGCTGTTGGCTGGGCTCCCTGCCTGTGCCATTAACCCCCTACAACTTATCCAGAACGCTGCAGCCCGTCTGGTGTTCAACCTTCCCAAGTTCTCTCATGTCACCCCGCTCCTCCGAACACTCCACTGGCTTCCAGTTTAGGCTCGCATCTACTACAAGACCATGGTGCTTGCCTACGGAGCTGTGAGGGGAACGGCACCTCCTTACCTTCAGGCTCTGATCAGACCCTACACCCAAACGAGGGCACTACGTTCATCCACCTCTGGCCTGCTAGCCCCCCTACCTCTACGGAAGCACAGTTCCCGCTCAGCCCAGTCAAAGCTATTCGCTGCTCTGGCACCCCAATGGTGGAACAAGCTCCCCCACGACGCCAGGACAGCGGAGTCACTGACCACCTTCCGGAGACACTTGAAGCCCTACCTCTTTAAGGAATACCTGGAATAGTGTAAAAGTAATCCTTCTTCCCCCACCCCCCCATAAAAAATATATATATATATATTCTCTGTAAATGGTAGCTTGCAGAGAACATGTGTGTTGAGGTTTAAGCATGTTTAAGTGCCCATGAAACAAGTACCAACCTAAGATACAGCTTCACCAATAGGAATTATGATTCTTTAATAAAACTGGAGAAAAAAATACATACACTGAGGTTATAGGACTATTCAAGACACAGAAGTAGGTGCTTGCGTGCGTGCGTCACACGCGATATCGTATGCCGCGTTAAAACAACTGGGCAAGAAGGGATCAAGCTCTTGTCAAATTAAAGTCAGATTGGACTTCTCGTAGCAGGTTAGGATAATTAACGTAGCAGGTTAGGATAATTAGGTTAAGGTTAGGAAATTAGCTAAAATGCCCCAAAAATCAACTTTTGACGTTAATTTGACAGCAGGTACGAGCTCCGCAAAGACTCAAACTTTAATTTATGTTCAATGTTCAACTCAGACTCGCAACGCTTGTGGCAAGGACTACAGACTATCACAGACTACAAAGGCAAATCCAGCTGTGTGGTGCCCAATGAAGCCTCCCTCCCAGACGAGCGTAACACATTCCATGCTCGCTTTGACGCAGACAATACCGAGCCATCCAGGAAGACTCTTGCTGCTCCGGACTACCAGGTGCTTTCGCTCTCCGAGGCTGATGTGAGAAAAAGTATCAAAAGAGTGAATACGCCAGCCCAGATGGCATCCCTGGCCGCGTCCTCAGAGTGTGTGCTGACCTGCTTTAAAGAGACCACCATCGTCCCAGTGCCCAAGAAAACAAGGTGACATGCCCAAATGACTATCGCCCTGTCGCACTCACCCGTTATCATGAAGTGCTTTGAGAGGCTGGTCATGACCCACATCAAGGCCAGCATACCAGACACACTGGACCCACTCCAATCTGCCAACCACTCCAACAGATCCACGGTGTGAGGTCAGGGCTTTGTGATGGCCACTCCAATACCTTGACTTTGTTGTCCTTAAGCCATTTTGCCCCAACTTTGGAAGTATGCTTGGGGTCACTGTCCATTTGGAAGACCATTTTTTTTTGGACTGATTTCTTTTGATTTTCCCATGATGTCAAGCAAAGAGACACTGAGTTTGAAGGTAGGCCTTGAAATACATCCATAGGTACACCTCCAATTGACTGAAATGATGTAAATTATTAGCCTATCAGAAGCTTTAAAGCCATGACATCATTTTCTGGAATTTAGGCACAGTCAACTTAGTGTATGTAAACTTCTGACCCACTGGAATTGTGATACAGTGAATTATAAGTGAAATAATCTGTCTGTAAACAATTGTTGGAAACATTTCTTGTGTCTTGCACAAAGTAGATGTCCTAACCGACTTGCCAAAACTATAGTTTGTTAACAAGAAATGTGTGGACTGGTTGAAAAAAAAGTTTTAATGACTCCAACCTAAGTGTATGTAAGCTTCCGACTTCAACTGTATGAACTGTAACTCAGTAACAACTTTGAAATTGTTGCATGTTGCGTTTATAGGTTTTTTTCTGTGACCTCAATGTGCAGTTTCTCCAGAGATACATCAGATCAAGCCCGAACTGTGCGATGTAGCAGGGAGTTGTAGTTTCCAACAGGCCAATATTCTACATAGTTTAGCACAGAAAACGTGATAATTAACTACAATGACCATAATCCATTGCGCACCTACTTGTCAGGTCTGTGTGGTGGTGTCCCCTCCTCCCAGGCCGTTGCCATGGTGCAGGAGCAGATAGGGT